GTGGTAACGTTAGACAAGAACACACCGATAGTGTGCATGTAGTGACCCAGGGATGGACATCTGACTCAGGGAAGGGACATATTAGTGTTGCCCACCTCAGACACACAAGTGGTGGCAGGGAAAACGCTTTGGAATCTCGCAGCTTATGTGTGTATACAGAAGAGTTATCAGGACTGAAAATCAAGTCCAGAGGAAACTCCAGCTGGGCTAGGGCAGGGCAATGAAAAATTATCGGGGGAAGGAAATGGCTTTCAGCGACCAGTGTTATCATGGACACAGCTAGGGTCCAGGATGAAACTAGGAGCCAGAATAATAGGACAGAAAGACAGGACACCAGAGACACGCTCACAGATTAGACCGATGCACACTGGACCAGGAATTCTTACATGCCTTTTACCCAGGGGTCTGTCTCCACACTGAACTGGGACTAAGTCCATGGGCAAGAAAATTAAGTGGAGACACCTCGAAATATTTAGAGGCCTATGAAGGAGGGTACCCTCAGAATCCAGGGCTCAATTTGGGGAGCCTAAAACACAAGGTTTCCTAGTCACTGACAAAGAGAGGTCTTCTCCCTCAGTAACCAAGAGCCCCAAACACAGCCCAGAACGGGGGAGGCAAGTTTCCATACATCTGGTCGTGACCCAAGAGACCAGATGAGGAAAGCTGAAGCCTGGGCTCTTTCTCACAGTCTGGGGAAATCAGGCATTGGCTGTCCATCCCCACATCTTACCTCCTCCCCAGAGGGTGGCTTCTGAGCCACCCTAAAAAGAGCTAAGTTCTCTGGGCTCTGGGGGAGCTTTAAGATGCTGGGGGTGGGTGACAGGGAAAGGGAAATTGCTCTAAGCTCTAAAGCACTGCTCTGCAATAGCATTTTCCATGATGATGCAAATGTTCTAAATCTGTGCCGTCCAATGCAGTAGCCACTAGCTCCATGTGCCTACTGAGCACTTAGAAGGTCGTGGCACTGAGGAGCAGAGGTTTCTTTTTTTTTGGCCAAGCCATGAAGCTTGCGGGGTCTGAGTTCCCCGACCAGGGATTGAACCCCAGCCACAGCAGTGAAAGCGCCAAGTCCCAACAACTGGACCGCCAGGGAACAGAATTTTTAACTTTTTAACTTAATTTTTAACAGAATTAATTTTCCTTAATTTTAACTAATTTACATTCTAATAGGCATTTGGCTAGTGGCTACTGTAATTGACAATGCAGCTCTAGGGCCTTGGCGATAACGGATTCAGCTAGAAAGCAATGGAGGGAAAGCAGGGATACCCTCCTCATCAGGCCCTGAGGGATGGGGCTGGGGTGGATGTCCTCAAGCAACCACAGAACACTTCTCTTGTCTCTTTATTCCTCATGCATATCTGTCCCCTCTTTTTCTAAGTTGCTCATCACACACTGATATCCCCACTCCTTGATGGGCTCCGGTGAGTTGTTGGAGGTCTCTCGGTGAAGGCGCCTGGGAGACAGAGCTTCTCACTTGTCCCTGCCTGCTCTGAACTGTCTCTGGCGGGCGTCAAAGACCACATGCCCGAGCCGGGTGCCTGACGGGTGGTAGGGCTTCCAGCTGGTTTTGGGAGGCGTAGACATCTGGCGATGATTCTGGCAGGCTGGAGGAACTGTATCCTGGGGGTGGTACACCCAGCCTTGGCTGCCTGCTTGCTGGGAGGGTGATTGCAGCACGATCAGCACAGGTACCTCTGAGAAGGTTAGCAGGTCATTGTAGGCCACCTGAGCCTTGGGAGAGCGGCAGTTCTGACTGGGTGGGATAGAAGTCCGTGGTATGTGCTGCCCTGCATCCTTGTGGAGGCCAGGATTTGGGATAAGGCATGAGTTGTTATGGAGGCCTGATCTCTGGGATAAGCCAGAGTATTGAGTAAGGGCTGGACCCTTATGGGGGCCAGGAAGCTTGTGGAGGCCTGGATCTTGAGCAAGGCCTGTGTTCTTGGGGAGGCCTGGGTCTTGGATAAGACCTGGACTCTTCTGGGTGCCTGGGTTTGTGGTAAGGCCTGGGTTTCTGGAAACTCTGCAGACTTTGGAAAGGCCTGGGGTCCTTGGGAGGACAGAGCCTTGGTTGAGGTCTAGACTCTCATGAAGTTCAGGGGGTTGGGCCTGGCTTGGGGTTTGGGAAGTAGTGGATAACTGGAGAGGGATGGGGCCCTGGGAAGAGAGGACAGACTGAGAAGACTTGGAGGTTGGGGGCAAGGTGGGGGGTTGCATTAAGGTGGAGGGCTTCTGGTGGTTGCTGTGTTGATGAAGGACCCAGGATCTGGGAGAAACAAGAGGTAGATAAAGAGTGCATGGTGGAGGCATGGTGCATGGTGACCTCTGGGCACTGTTTTGAGAATGGAAGTAAGGTTGGGAAGGTACAGCATCCTTGGAGTACAGGAATGTGGGGTAGACTGGAGTCTGGGGGTCTGTGTTTCTCTTCTCAGACCTGCAAGGATGGAAGCTGCAGTAAGGGAAGGTCTTGGACTGTACAAATTTGTCTTTGGCATCATTTGAGGTCTTCCCTTCCATATTCCCCAACTCCAGGTAACCCAGAATGGATGCTGTGGAGGGCTTGGCACTGTCCCCACTACATTGCTTGAGTGTTTGCTCTGCTGTACCAGAGCTCAGCAGACCATGCCCCTCTTGCGGCCTGGAGAGGGTACCCAAGTCCTTTCTGGAATATCCAGAGTTCTGAGGGGGACACACATGGAATAAGTTCTGCTTTACCCTACGGGCATCATAGACCACACGGCCAGAGGAGAGGCCTTGGCTGAAGGCAGACAAGGTAGAGGAAATAGAACCTAGGATGGGGGTAGGGGTGGTGGAAGGGACTGGAGTGGTCGTCAGGGCCATGACCAGCGCTGGGACAGAGGTTGTGGCAGAGATCGGGACAGGGGCTGGTGTAGGGGCAAGGGCAGGAGTAGTAGCAGGGGCAGCAGTTGGGGGAGGGACCAGAGTGTTGGCATGGGTATAGGTCAGATGAGCATGGGTCAGGGTGCAGACAGAAGTGTGGCCCAGGGATTGGGCTGAGGCAGGTGAGGGGGCCTGGGCTTGGGCCTGGGCTGGAGTATGGGCTGAAGTATGCTCAGGGCCATGGACCTGGGCAGGGCTGTGCTCAGGGGTGAGGGCTGGGGAGGGGGTCTGGGCCTGGGGGGTGGTGTGCTCAGGGGGGTGGAATGTGGAGCAAGTCTGGACCTGAGGTGGGGCGTGCTCAGAGGGGTGGGTGGAGGAGAAGGTCTGGGCTTTGGCAGGAGTGTTCCCAGTGGGGTGCACTAGGGAGAAGGCCTGGGCCCGGGGCGGAAGTGTGCTCATGGGCGTGGCCTCGGGAGCAGGTCTCCGACGGGGGGCGGGGGGGGGGGAGGGGGGGGTGGGTGCCCAGGGGGGGGGGCTGGGGAGAAGGGCTGGGCCTTCGCAGGAGCATGCGCAGGGGGCTGAACTGGGGGGCGGGTCTGGGCCCGGGCTGGGGCCTGGGCTGGGTCAGAGTCTGGGGTCTTAGTCTTGCTCTCTTGGGGCAGGCGGAGTGGAAACACGTCCACCTTGCTCATCCTGTGGAGCTTGGAAGATGTCTCTTACCTGGAGTAAAAGTTGGCTTGGGACTTTAAGGCTGTGACAGCAGGGGCCTCCCCAGCTCTCACTACCCGCTCCTTCCACAGTCTCCGTGGAACCTGCGTGGAAGCCCCAGCCCGTCCACACTGAGGCGGCATCCGGCAGTACTTAGAAGCCTTCTCATCTTTTTTGTCTCGTATCCAGGAGTCAGGGTGGTTTGGCTGCCCGAGCAGGAAGCTTGGGCGATGGCGGAGGCGGGAAGAAACTCTTGAGCGCGGTTTCTTGGGATCCACGCAGCAGCGCCTGCGCATGCGATGGCTGTCTACACAGCTGGCTTGCTTGTCTGCGGGGAAAGGCGAGATGGGTCAGGGCCTGGGTTCATGAGGGGCTGAGAATCAAGGCAGGGATAGAAGAAAGGGGACAGGCCCACATTCCCTGAGCCCACGCTGGCGCCCACTCACCTTTGGGGAAAATTCGATTGAAGAGTGCCCGCAAGAATCTCTTCAGATGCCTCCAGAGCTGAGGGAAGAAGGGGAGGGGGGAGGCCAGGAGCAGGGTTAGCCCTGAAATCCAACCCTTGTCCGGCCACACCCCCGCAGCCCTCCCAACCTCAGCCCCTTCGAGGCCCCAGGGCTCCCCCAACCCCGCTGCCCAGATCCTGCCCTGACCATAGTCACCACGTTGATCCCCACGATGAGGAAGATCAGGCTGAGCAGCAGCAGAGGAATTAAGTCTTCTTGGTCCTGGCATTTCCTGGGTTCGGGGCTAGGGGCCGGCTCGGCTGTGTAGCAGGTTCCCTCACCCATGGCCGGGGGTCCCAGGACTGCCTGGGCCCCCTGCCCTCCACTTTTAACTGGGAGTCAGACTGGGTCATAATGGGGCAGGTGGTGAGGTCACAGTGAGGGAGGGGCATTCCCTGGTTACCAGGGTGAGGTAAGCTGAGCCTGGACAGTCAAACAGGGCCTGTAGGCCGGCACACCTCCCCTCGAGCGGTCAATCATTCGCTCACCGCCCGCTGACTCACTTGTTCAAATGACACATTCCATCTCTTGGCCCCTCCTGAGACTAGGAAGACCTTGGCCTCAGAGTCCTGCGGAAGGCCTGGCTGGAGTCCAGAGCCTCAGCCTTCTTCATGCCCTTCACTGGGCGTGATGCTGGACCTGCCCAGATGTGGAACCTCCCAGTTTGGAAGCAGCTTCTTGTATGAGGCTCTCTGTGGACAGGGACAGCTGAGACACAGAGGAGGTGCCCAGAGACCAGGGGTTTGGAGTCTGCAGCTGCAGATGTACTTAGTGCATATGGTATAGGACCAGGAGGGGCCTGCTGGCAGGACTGCGGCCACTAAACCAGGGGGACCCTCAGGCCAAGAAGGGGACACTGGCTTCTTATTGCAGGAAGCCAAGCGCAGGGACCCAGGCTGGCAGAAGGAGTGGTGCTTCCAAGCCACAGACCACCAATGTTTCCTGGACTCTGGCGCTCTTTGTTCCTCTCTCCATGCCCTGCCGCCCCCTGCCCCTGCCCCCATTTGCTGCTGGTCAGTTCATTTTCCCAGTCTGGCTCCCGTGCAGAGAGGGCCTGGAGGCCGAGGTGGAAGGTAGCAGCGAGTTGGCCCGCGCTTGGCTCTCCTGCACTTGCCGCTTCAGCTCCAGGCTGTCATACACCTGGTAGTTGGCATTGCCCCCCGGGTTCCGGCTGAGTGGCATGAAGGTGGGTGGGGGTGGAGGGTGCTCGGTAGCCTGGACTTCGGAAAGGGACTGGGAGGGGCGGAGGAGCAGCGCTGAGCTGGGAGCCGGGGCCCGCTTGTACGAGGCCTCTGCCAGCACCGTGAGGGAGGCGGAGGCGGCCAGAGGGCGCCACATGGGCAGCATCTCGGCCCATTCGGCCGCCCGGCGCCGCACCTCGTGGGGATCCCGGGAGTAGTTCAAGTGTCCCGTGGACGGGTGCAGGCTGCGGTTTGGTTGGCTGTGAGCACAGCAGGGGAGGCTCCGTCCGTGGGCCAGTGGGGAGTTGCGCTGCCAGGCTTCGGGCCGGCAGCCCCGAGGCACCAGAGCGGATGGAGGCCCAGAGCCCTCCAGACCACGCCGCCGCTGATGCCAGGAGTCATACGGGAGCTGGCCCCTTGAGGGGTAAGTGCTGTGCCCCCCAGGGACCCACGAGGGGCTGGGGGCAGCCGTCGGGGAGGTGGTGGAGACGAGGTCCACTGGTCAGCCTCCACGTTGCTCCAGATGCGGGATGGTGAGCAGGGGGCCCCGAAGGACTGCAGGCTTAGCTCGGACTTGGCCTCCACACGCTTGGCCATGCGGCGCAGCTCGGGCGACAGGTAGAGACAGGGTGGTGGCAGGCTGGCCAGGATCCCACCCTGGCGGCCCCAGAGGCCCACGTTGGAGGGCAGGCCCATCTGCTGGTAGAGCCCTCCCGAGCACCCCCACGGGTACTTGGGTTGTGGGAAGGAAAGATCATCCTCCTGCTCCAGGTAGGAGTCCGGGTCCTCCCGATCAAAGGAGGGCATTGGCCGCAGCTGTGACATCCCGTGGCTGCGATGCGGCCTACGGAAGCCTGAGCGGCTGTAGGGGAATTGTCTGCGGTTCTTCGGCCTCCGCTGGTGGCTGCCGGGGCGGCGGCTGCAGCTGCGGCTACGGTTGCGGAGATGATGGTAGGAGGACAGGGAGTAGCAAGCGGGCCGGGCCATCTTCACTTCCACAGGGTCCAGGGTGCAGTGGATGTGGACGTCTTGGGCCTTGGCAGGAGGATGTTTGGGGGAACTTTCACAAGCCTGCGATGTTTCATCTGGCGGAGGCGAGAGTCCGTGAGGGCAGGGCAACTGTCAGAAGAGTTCAGGGTTGGGAACCTGGGGGCCTGGGTTTCTAGGGCCCTGGGAGTAGCAGGGGTGTGGTGCCCCCTACCTGTCTTCCATACTTACTTTTCTGATTAATCCAATAGATGGTCTTGTCTAAGGCATTCTGGAGCCCATGCCATACCTGGGGTGGGGTGGGGTGGGGTGGGTGAAAATGAAGGCCAGGCTCTCCACCCTCACCCCCCGTCCCAGCCAAGACCGTTCCTGCAGACGGAGGTGCAGGCTGCAGCTGGTTCCCACCCTCAGCCCTCTTCACCCCTACTGGTGGTCCCCAACCATCGCTGACCATAGTTGCCATGCTGATCCCAATGCTGACAAGAACGACAAGGCCCGGCAGCAGGAGCAGGAAGTCCTCCGCATTCTGGGTACTTTCTTGGTATGGATGGCAGCACCCCAGGTTGTCATACCAGAGCCGGTTTTCCATGGTGGGGGGGTCCTAGGGCCACCTGGGCCGCGGGCCGCCCCCCACCACCACCGGCCCTGACCCACAGTGCACTCATGCCAGGACCTGCGGACACCCACCAACAGGTGAGGGAGCATGGTCATAATGGGGCACGTTGCAGGGAGTCACAATGCTGAGGTGGCCAATCTTTCATCCACTCAGCTGGCCCTTTATGTGGCCATCTCTGCCCTCGGCTCCCACTACATGGAGCCTAGTCCCCAGAGTTCAGTCGGTCCTTCTGTCTCCATGGGACCTTGCTTAACTTGATGTGCAAGCATGGTTGCTACAGATGAGAGACCGTCTTCATAGGGACTGAATCATGCATAAAGGATTTCCTCCATTTCATTGTTCGAGACATTATGGCAGCTTATGTAGCCTGTTGTGATTCCCCACCCATGCCTGCTTGGGGCCAGCAGCGAGGGTGACTAGATGGATGAGTGACAGTAAGAGTCCCCTCTGGGGTCGCCCCACTGCACCATCCCCTCCTTGTCCTGCTGATTTCCCTGTCATAACCCCTCTAGTACCCACCGTACCCACCCCTTCCTGCCAGGGATTGCAGCCTTAGGTGTTGGTGGTCACTGGCCCCTTTAGTTCAGAGCAAGGGTTTGCTGCCTTTGCCAGAGACCACCCCAAACCATGGTTTCTCTCCTTCCTAACCAACTTCCCTCCCACTGAGCCAACCCTCCGAGTTGAAAAACGGTTAGCTGCTGTCTTAAGAAAACCACATGAAATTCACAAAGCACAAAATAGATGTAGTTGTTGATATGACAAACGGAATCTACTGTTATCAACCGGTTTCATTGCTGGGGTCTCTGAAAGTGGTACCTGGGGAACCTCAAGTCATTTTCTTTGCACAACGAACATCTCAACAGATATAGAGGAACAGGGAGTTCCCGGGATGTCCGGTGATTAGGACTACACGCTTTCATTGTTGAGGGCCCCAGTTCAATCCCTGGTCAGGGAACTAAGATCCTGCAAACCACACTGCATGGCCAAAAAGAAAAAAAAGAGAGAAAGAAATAGAAAGAGCCAGTGGGCATTTTCCATCAAGACTCCAAACACACAGCAGGTGCTCAATATAGACCCACTTAATGGAATCAGCTTAAAATGATCGATAACGTTAGTCAAATGAAAATGAACAGAGAAGCAGGGTGATTCATAGAAGGCCCATCTGCTCACATTCCAGGAACCCATCTGGTATGGGAGGTGAGGTCTAGTCCCTTCGACCTGGCTCCTTGTTCCCAAGTTGTGTGCGTGTGTGTCTAGAAGTAGGTAGGGCCTGGGTTTCCCTGCTGTCCAGTGGATGCAATATCCTGATGAGTTTACATGGGAAACTGAGGAAGGCGGGAGGAGACTCTGATGGGCCAGGCTGACTCAGTAGCAATGGGAATCTACCTGTGGGATCAGGGGGACGGAGCGTCTGAGGCCATGAAGTTGATCCTTGGTGTCCGCGTGACCATGAATAAGTCACCTGGCGTCTCTGAGCCTCAGTCTCCTCATTTGTGACATGGAAGTGCTAATCAGAGGAGTGAGGGCACACAGGGCTGTGTGGAGGCAGCCCTTGAGAGTGTCCTCAATATTTTATCCTCTGCTCCAAGCCTTCTCGAGTATACAGGAGCTTCGGGTTCTGACTGGGGAACTGTGAGGGCCTGGGTACCCTCACTCTCAGCCATCCCTCCCCAAAGAAACCAGGGCTTCAGAGGGACCACACCTCACCTGTAGTTACAGCCTAAACCTGGGCTCTGGTAGGAGCTGGACCTCTGAGAGACTGAGGCCATGGGGATGAGGGTCTCCACTCAAGTGCAGTACTGCCTGGGGATCTGGAGTGGGATTTGGGGGGCTTCCCTGGGCACTAAAGAACAGAGTAGAGGCAGGTGGGAGGCTTGGAACCAAGAAGGGCCTGGGAAAGGGCTGAGGACAGGGCCTGGTGAGGCCAAGAGGTTGATGAGGGTCCTCAGGGCTCTCTAGGCCCTGTTGCCAGGGAGATCATTTCCTTAGCAACCAGGCTTCTGGGTGCTGTGTGGGCCCTGGCACCCCCCACACCACCACAAACCACCTCCTCTCTTCTTTTTATTCTTCTCCCAGTCACCTCTCTGTCAGGGAACGGTATACCTAGGCCTTTCCCGTCCCCTCAGCCGTGCTGGATCCAGAGACCGGGGGGTAACAGTGGGACAGGGCCTCCACCTCCCTGGTCAGCTCCCGCAGCCGCCGCCTCACGTCTCTGGCATTATAGGCTACGCGCCCTGAGGAGTGGCGCCAGGGGATGTCTGCGACGTGGGCCGGGCCCAGGATGGGTGGCTGGGCTGGCGAGCACTGCTCCTGTTCTGCCTGGGGCACCCCCCACCCGTTCTTGTGGCTCAGGGCCTGAGGGCTGTGGGGCGGGGGTTCACAGGGTACGCGTAGGCCTGTAGGCCCAGCTCTGACTGCCTCTCTTTTGAGCGGCCTTCCCTCTGCAGTTTGCTGGAAGCGGATGGTCTGGGTAGGTGGCTCCACGGCATCCTGGGCCCAGGGAGTCCAGAACCCCTGGGTGGACTGAAAGCCTTCCCAGTCCTTGGGGCAATTCCAGTTGTGGGAGCAGATTGTTGTGTGCTGACGTGCGGGCTTCTCGTCATCGCCATCAGTTGTCAGGGGCCCAGGCTACGGGGCGGTGGGCGCGGCGTGCTGAAGAGTCTCGACGGCGACGGCGGCGGGTGGGTGGGGGGGACACGGTCATTTTCACAGGGTCCATGGTGCACCGAAGGCAGACTGCAGGGGCGCTCTGCTTCGGGGGCTGGGTCTGCTTTCCAGGTGAGCATAACTTAGAAGCTTCTGTGGATCGGGGACAGGTGAGAGGCTGGTGGGGAGCCTGGCTCCTCCAGGGATGGAGAGGCAGGTTGCAGGAAGAGAAGCTGCATAGTTATGGTGTCTGAGCAGGGAGAGCGGGAGGGGAAGGGGCCCACTTAAGGTCAGGGCTAGAACACCTGGTTTCTGTCTTTCCTATTCCCCAACCTCCCCATCCTCCACTTACCTTTCTCACAAATAACATGAAACACTTGGTGTAAGAAGCCACGGAGTCTGCGCCAGAGCTAGGTGGGGGAGGACACAGTGACTCCAGGCCTGCCCCCCAGCCATCCTGCCAGCACCCTCCCACCCGGCCCCACCCTGACCAGTGTCACCATATTGATGCCAATGTTAACGCAGATGATGAGGTCCAGCAGCAACAGGATGGAGTTGTCCAGGTCCTGGCAGTTGTTGGTGCTGGGGCTGTGACACAAGGCCCACCCGGGACAGGGCCACTCAGCTGTGGCCATGGGGGTCCCTAGGGCCCCAACCTACTGTGCCCACAGGACCACTGGCCGCCTTCCTGTCCCAGAGGCTCCTGGGGATAAGTGGGTCACAATGATGTGGGGCTCTCCCTCAAAATGTGCCAAGAGGGAGAGTCCTGGGCCTGTGTTTGACCCTCCAGCCTGGGCCAGGGCTTAGTAGAGGCCAAACCCTTCACCTTGCATGTCTCTCCTGTAGCCAGCCACCTGCACCAGCCCATAGGCCCTCTGGCCTGTTTGGTGTCTGTCCCCATCAGCCCCTGCCTGGTCCTCTACGCCAGGCTCTGACCTCTGCACAGACACTGGTCCTGATCTTAACTCCCCGAACAACCCCATTACCAATGACAACCTCACCCCAGCACCCACTCCCCCTTTCTCTCTGACCTCAGAGCTGTTCACTGGCAAGGGCTGTGGGCTCGGACCCCCTCCTCCTCTCTCACTGGCAGAGTCACTTTTCCAAGGTTTGTTTCTTTAGAGCCCCACCCCTACCTCCCAACATAACAGCAGGCAAATCCAACAGTTAAACTTTTATATTTACAATATTCTCTTCATCTTTTGCCAGGTTTAAAAATGTGTACAGAGCCGCGAAGGGTTGGGGTGGGGACACAGGATTGTCAAGGAATTGCTCTGGGGACAGGGGCTGGGCACTGGAGTCTGTGGCTGAATCATGGGATCCCCCAGCCCCCCTCCCATGCCCCGGTTGGGGGGGCATCTGTCTACAGGGTTCAGGGGCCAGGTCCCTAGCATTTAGAAGGCAGGGCTGTTTGGAAAGGAGCTAGACCAGGCAGGGGAAGGGGTGGGAAAAGAACTAAGTTTCCATGGGTGGAGGTGGGGGCAGAAGGGACAGTCAGGAGGCAAAGTTCTGGGGAGCCAAGACCAGGGATTTGGGGGTCAGTGGAAGACAGCACTCCACCCCCTATTCAAATTTGGCACTAATGAACCCACAAAATGCCAGCAGACGAGGATTGGCTCCTTCTCGGCTGGTGTCCCTTGAAACCCTTCTCGACATTGTTCCTTTCCCCAGAGGCCCAAACCGTTTCTCTTTGGGCAGTCACCTTACACACATCCTTTCAAATCAAATTCTTCCTGCTGGTGTCTGCCCAAGCGCCGTCCCCCACTGCCCCCTCCATCTGTTCCTCAGTACAGCTGACCCCGTTCTCTCCCCCAACCTGTCCGGGGAAGCCTTTCTCCCCTGCTCTCCTCCCCTCCCCCCTCCACTGCTCCTTTCCTTCAGCCCTGGGGGCCCAGGGGAGAGGGGGCAGGTCAAAGGAGGGGGTGGGCAGCTGAGGGGAGAAGCTGGCTTGAGACCAGGAAGGGATGGCTTCAGAGGGGGATGGCGAAGGGGGGAGGGAAAACAGGGGCAGAGAGGGAGGGATGAGACATGGCGAGAAGAGGGACGCAGGCGGGACCCCTTTAGCTGCCACCTCCCCCTCTCCTGTATCCTACCTGCCCTGGCCCAGGGCTGAGGAATCCTTGGCACGTTTTGGGGGGTCTTTGCCCCTCAAACCCACCTCACCAGTTTGGCACGGATGAGCGATGGTCTGAGGACTGAGGGAAGAAGGTCTGCCCTCAGACCGCGGTGAGGGCTTTGGTCAAACATGCATGGCCTCTGTGGGTGGCAGGTGCCACGCAGCCCCCCACCCCCCAAACTCTAGGGGAAAGAAGGGCAGAGCTTAGGGTCTGTTCATCTCCTCAGGGTTTGTCCCTCCCCCTCAGCTTCTG